GTCTTGCCCGCCCGTTCCCAAGACCCACAGTGCAGCTACTCCGCGGGCTCTATTCATTTTTTACTCTCACTAATCTTCAACTTTGTGCCTCATATTTCCCCACCGTCTTCCCGACCATGCCATAGCTGGGTGCTCAAGGGAAAGGAGTCGCGCCTGTCCATCGAGCTCATCATGCGCCTGCACCAGGGTTTGGACCCGGCCTCGGACGTGGACATCGACGAGATCGAGTGTTTGCTGGCGAACCTGATCTACAAGGGAAGCATCCGCGGGTACATCGCGCACGAGAAACGCATTCTTGTCCTCTCCAAGGATAAGCCCTTCCCCTCGCCGCAGAGCTGACGTGTTGTTCACCCGCTCGGGCAGGTGGACGGCCCATGTAAAGTAAAACATTCTGAGCGGTGGATGGCCTGGGGCGGCATGCGAGCGAGCACTTCGAGGCAATGGCTCCTTTCCGTTGTCTTTCCTTGCTTAAAGGTTCTCGGTTGCTTGGCCTCAAAGCCTGGAGTCCAGCGATATCCTCACATTCGACTTTCCTCCCAAAGCGCACCGATAATTTTTCAGGTCTTCTAAGTCCACACCCCCCTTTCGTATTAATAACGCGCAAAGCCCCAAGGCAGAACTTGAGCTGTCTTGACATAGTGCACAATAATCCCCCCCTCCAAGCTACTGTGTACCGAGTTTGCCGTCATACCTCCCACCAAGTTTGGAAACCAAAAAGTCGCCGATACCTGCCTTCCTAGCCCTACCCACCTATACACTCCCCAATCACCCTTGCAGCCCCTACGCCATACCCCCGTCGATCCTCTCTTTCGTCATCTCCAAGGACCGTCGGGACTCCCGCCGGAAAAACTCGGCCACGTCCACCTCAGTCGCGGCCACCGATTCCACATCCTTCCCCACGGCCCGTTCGAAGGCCTGTCTGGCTGCCTCGAATGATCCTGCATGGAAGTGGCTGACCCCGAGAAAGAAGTTGTTGCGCAAGGACCGAGGCTCCACCTCCCAGGCGCTCTCAAAGGCCTCCACCGCCTTCGGCACGTCCCGCAGGGGCCAGGGCGCGGCCAGAAGGAAAGCCCCTCGAAAAATGAAGGGCACACCTGCGTCGTAAGTTGGGTGGCGGGAGACAATCTGGTCGACGAGGCGCATGAAGGTGAGGCCATCGCCCGTCACGGCCGCCTTTAGGATGCCCTTGCTGGACGTCCTGTAAGTGTAGGCCTCGGTCATGAGGACGTGTATTCGCGCGTTTTGAGGCTCTTGCGCGTGCAATTCTTTTAAAATGTCATAAGCCTCAAATGCACAGGTCTTCCACAGCTTCCGGTTCTCTTTGCTGTCGGAGACGCCGTCAATGAGGACCGCGTTGGCATTCGTCAATGAGCGGAGCAATGAGACGCTGGCGTCGGCGAATTTGAACTTGAGAGACGCGCTTATCGTGGTGAGGGTCCCGATTCAAAGGAAGAAAATGGTACGTTAGATTAGGTATAGCATTCGAAAAGACGCATTAGTGCAGGGGTGTTAGATTCTCATGTCGTGCAACAAAGCTTGAAGAGGGCCCAAGCCCTCGAGCCGCACAACTTCTCTTTTACCTGTTGGGTTGCTTCTCCAAAAGAAGTTTATACTCGGCAGCAGCCTTCCTATAGTTGTCAGGCCCTCGTTCTTGCATTAGTTTATCCGCGGTATGGCACTCCACACTCGTTGCACTGTCGCCACCGTGCCCCATCGCCTCAGCAACTACTTTACTCAATCGCGGGACCTTCCACTGCTGAACCTGCGCTGGCGCAGTTGAGGCCCCATCGCTGTTGATAGAGGCAACATCTTTTTCACGCTTCCCCAAGCGGAAACAGACGCAGCCTGAGGGCGGGTAAAGAAGCAATAACACGATAAAAAGGGACGCGAGTACGCAGGGCGAGGAGGTAGGCATGACGAGTTAGGTCAGACCGGCCACGAGAGATAGCGAACAGGCCTCCCTGTCTTTTTCCAAAAAGAAACAGGTATAAGGGCGGTGAATCATCGCGTCCAACGTCATGTTTTCCGCTTCTTGTGGGGGAAATGTTCATCTTGTAATCGGAAAGGGCAGGCTCTGAGGGGGGAGGAGAAACACCATCATTCATCGGGAGGTGCCCTCTGCCGAGAAACATCATCACTCATCGGGACGAGCCCTCTGCCGAGGAGGCAGTTCTTGAAGAGAGCATTCCCCTCGGGCTTCGTTAGCCAGGCGTAAGATGCGGGCGCCTACGGGCACAGATCCTCCTCGGCTGTGTTAGAATGAATACACAAATCAATGCTTGGCCAGAGGTGAGGCCTCTGGTTGCCCCCATTCCTGTTTTGGCTTGCTATGCCCGTGGATACATTGCATTCATCAACTTCTTGCAACCATGGAACGATTAGTCTTGGTTGGGACCTTTATAGCGGAACAGGTTGCCAGACCGCATTTCCATTTGAATGATGCATTGTCTTTCTGAGGAGTTGTGCTTCTCTTCCGAAACTTGTGAGAGATCTAAGGCAACTGTGTGCGTTGTTTGTACGCTCTGCAGACGCGAGCTACAACTTCATGCATTTCATAGAGGGTAGGGCGCTCCCCCCCCAGGTGGAGCCGAAAGAGGGATGCTTTTTGCCCTTTCCACTACGGAACGGTCCCATGGAAGCACGAGTTGCTTCATGCCTTGCGCATGACACAATACATTTGCATGGTGGAACGTGTCGCCCCTCGGTATTGCTGTGTGTGTCGTCTAAGATTGGATGGGTTTCAGCAACAGAATTCCTTTTTGGCATCTTGGCTGTAGTGCGCATTCCTGTACCGCAAATTCGGGCTTCATACTCCTTCCCCTTTCCCATTAGTTTCTTAAAGCTCCATCAAAGCGGGCAACCTAATATTCGCGTAGAAGTGTCCCACTTCGTTGCCACGAAGTCCTGCAACATAGATACCTCCAGAGTTCTAATCCTTCCACTTCGACACACACACTCACGGTTTAGGCGGCCAAGCTTTCGTTGTTTCTTCGCCCTTTAAATTCTGAGCCTTCCTTACCCATCAGCATTAAGTGCTGTGCGAGGAGGGACGCCACCTTGACTGGCTTTTCGTGCGTAAGTGATAGAAATTATCCCAGAGTGAGCACTTCTTGCCTGTCCCCTACAGGCACGTGAAAGCTAGCCACGACCTCTGTCACCTCTTTTCCATTGATGGAAGGGCCGGGGCAGTTTGGACTGGGCGGTGGTGGAGATGTTGGAAACGGGGCTGCTGCGTCCACTCTCCTAGACAGCAACTTCCCTCCCCCCCCGGTATTCGGGTTTGCACGGGATGACTCGATTAACCTGGAGGATGTTTTCACAGACTGGTTCAACGAGGACAATTTGAATGGTCCACCCACTGCCTTCGGGAACAACCAAGGTGTAAATTCTGAGGCACAGCCCCAAGAGTATCCCTCGGCGGTCCTGGAATCGAAGCCACAAGCGCCGGTTCCTCAACAGCGCCTGCCTCAGAAATACCTCCACCCCGGAGACCCGAAACCGGTGGGGATGGTGCCCTTGGACGGGAAGGCCATGGTGTCGGAGGGGGCTGGGAGAGCGGAAGGGGAAGGCGGTGTAGAAGAGGAGGGGGAGGAAGAGTTCGAGGACGACGACGGAGGGGACAGCATGGGGAGTGGAG